ATCTGCCATGGGCCCTGTACCGACTCCTCATGCTGCTGCCAGGCCCGTAATCTGTCATGGGCCCCTGTACCGCCTCCTCATGCTGCTGCCAGGTCCAGAGTGTGTCATGGGTCCCTGTACGGCCTCCCATTGCTGCTGTCTCTATCGCCACACTCTGCCATGTGCCACTTTCAGGTCTCCTCACACTGCTGGTGGTTTCCATTTTGTCATAGGGTGCTGTATGGCCTCCCATTGCTGCTGCCTGCACCGCCACACTGTGGCTCCACACTCTGGTTTTGGCCCCGTGACTGCCCAAATGAGTGAAGTGTGCGGTGATTCTAAGATCGACGGCACTCATCTGCATGTCATACTGACTGACAGTATTATTTCTCTTCCCCAGCAGACTCCAAGGGCATTTAAATTAAAGGTACAGTGTTCTGCACTAATATTAAGTCTCTCTGAAGCCTAGAAACACCCTTTTTTAAGTTAAATTCACAGCGAATTTATTCGACTCGAATCGAATATTGTCCACGAATTCGCCGAATCAGTCGAATCGAATTTTTCATTTCTTCGCTCATCTCTACTCTTAACATAAAAGCAATAAATGATTAATACCTAGTTTCTAATATCCCTACAACCACTGTGCATATAAATACAAGTGCATATAAATACATCCACAATATAAATGTATTTAGTTTATCAATTTATGAATGGTATGTATACCATCTCCAAAAACAGCTTCCTTTCAATCGCCAAAGACCTCTTAAGCTCCTATGCCCCTCTGTACACCTCCACCAGTACACACATCATGATCTTATTTGGGATATTAGAAATTTTTAAAGAATATTAAAACCTTAAAAAAGACCTTCTATTTTATGTGGACATCGTTCTCTTTTTGGTGAAATTTGTTTCCTAAAGAGACACTGGCAATTTTTACATTCAGGGCAAAGTGATAATGTCTGTTCAAAGGCCCCATATTGCTTATCTTTAATAAATGGAATTGTCAATATACTGCACTTAGTCTGTATTCTTTTCTCATACAGCTTACAGAGCCTCGGCTTAACTCTGGAGGGTGCTGCCACTGGTGCCCATACAATATTCATATTATGGACAATTGATGGACTTATATCACAATTTATGTTTTGATTGTATGACTATGTGCTCCTTTAGTGCCCATCCCTTATCCTTTTTCCTGTTCGAAGGGCCCCATAGCCCTTCAAGCCTTTAACCCTGATCTTGACCTTTGACCCAAACACAAACCCTGGCACTGATCTAGATCAAACCTTGATCTAAGTATTTTTTTCTTTATTTTTTCTTTTATTATTTTTTTTACAGTATTTTTTTTACATGCAGGAACAGCACAAAAACACCTCAATATGACCGAAGATCAGTCTGCTACATAGGGGGTAGAGTCGAATAAAAACACTGGTCCATCCAATTCAACTTGTGTGTATTTATGTGACTACCATTTTCAATATCCCTGTACATTGTGGTCGTTAAGAAGCACATCTAAATTTTTTTTTAATTTATCCAAACTCCCCGCTGTGTACAGTATGTGCTGCTTTTACTACTAGGGAGAAAAAAACAGACACATCGCTGTGCCCATGTACAGAACCCTGTGTTCTTAGAAAAACACAGGGCTCTGTACTGCAATTCGTTAAGCCGATCAGCAGGTCCTGCAATCATTGGCAGGGAACTGCTGATTGACTTGTGTTGTACCAAATGGCAGCACAGATCAGGCACGGGTTGAGATACATATACGTGATCTAGCGCAGCAGGGCCATTGCATTGCAGTAAAACTAGGGGGTCTGCAACTGGTTAAAGGACTTCATTTTTATATATTTCCATATAGAGTGTATTTTACAAATTTAAAAAATCCTGTTATAAATTTGGTTATATGTATTTATATATTTAAATTTATATTATATATTTAAATTCATGGTTTGCCAGCATTTATATGTTAATTCTATATATGTGTATTAGTTGCCATGCTGAGCTTTGTAGTCCCTCAGTGATATAACCCTGCTATTGATCTACAGCAGGAAGGCTTGACAAAGGGACAGTATTTGATACGTTATCTGCCTGGCCTTTCCTTTCCTCCACATGTGATAGCTGATGTCACTAACACCCCCCTGCTGCTTACTGTTTCTGCTTTTATCATTCACAGCAATTTCAGTAGCGTTTTTTCACACATTAGGTTTCACAATATTCAACTTTTTTCCAGTGATATGATGCAATAGGCTGCATTCCTGAAAATTAAAAGCATTACCATAGGAAGTAATGATTAATTGATTTTCATAAAATATGTCATGTCAGGATGTTTTTGTTGTCATTTCATAAGCATAATTGTGAGTGGAATGTAAACATATAAAGGTTTGGCGGAAACGCTCTTGTCCTGGTTTATTCAGCAAGCAAACTCTTTGGTCTTCCTCTGCAGCTGTATCACTTGTTTATGTTATTTTGTGCAAATAAAATGTCTTACGTGTAAACACCAGAATATACAAGATGATGCAAATATGAATTCATTGCTTTCTCATCTAAATGCCTATTCCTACAGTAGTGGGATTACATGTGGCTTGGAAAATTATTTAAAATAGAGACTTTTTTTGTTTGTTTTTGTTTGTTTGTTTGTTTGTTTGTTTGATGTTTGTTTGGGATAAAGTGGTAAGGGTTAGAATTCCTATTAGGTTTTTGTTGCTCTTTGTGTCCCAGCTGGGGGAGATTCACTTTCTCTGTGCTACAGGTTCGCAGAATAATGAACTGCCAAACTGGCAAAATGTAGTCAGTTTGACAGTAAACAAACCAGCTGAGGATCTGTCATTTAGTGGCAGTAGCTGCTCAATGACAGATCCCTAATCACCTTCTATTTGTAAACAAACCGGCCAGGGATCTTGAGTGATGTCTGAGACCAAATATGGTCAATGACATTACCCTGCATCTCCAGCTAATTTGTTTACAAACAAAAGATGGAGGAGGCTTTGTCATTTTTCAACAGCACTGCTGGGGCCACATTATCAGGCAGTGTGTCATCGTGGCTGTAGGGCAACATCATCAGGCCGCAGGTCATCGTGATGGGGTGACATTGCTGGCCAGCAGGTCAACGCAATTGACGCTGGATCTACATTGGTTATTGGCAGCAGATTTACAAGTGGAAAAATTAATATTACAGAAGAGTAGTGGTGTTTAGCATCTGAGCGACTTTCGCTGTGTGCAGTGGTTTTGCACAGAGCAGCCCTGATTCTCCTCTTCTCGGGTCCCCTGCTGGCGTTTCTGTCCCCTCCGTCTTTCCTAGTGCCTCCATAGTAAGTAGCTTGTTATAGGGGCACCCAAGCAGGCTCCCTACCAAACCACTGGTTTGCATGACCCTTCACACACAGAGCCGTGGCTCAGCCCCACCCCCTCTCTCTTCTCATTGACTCACTGGCTGTGATTGACCCGGAGAAGCAAGGCTCATAGAATTCATGAAGGTAAAGACCCTTGAGCCTTTAGAACCACCTTAAAAGGTGATCCATCAGCAGAACCCTCCAATTCCCTTGAGAACATTTCTGCAGATGGAAAGCATCAGGGGTGGGGCTTACACGGACGTCATCATGCTGCCTGACCGGCCAGCGGCGTGTTCTGTGCTGTTCCGAGCATTGTATATGTTTATATTGTGACTAAATTCCTTTTAGTAAATAAATTAGTCTGGTGGTTTTACACTATGAAGTTCTTGTGATCTTTTCTTCCCAGTACTGAGCCATCTTTCCCTGCTGGTGAGCTCTGAGGTTTCCATCCGTCCAACCTGAGCAGTGTGACTTGATTGTGGCAGAGTTAACTCTTGATGTACCAAGTGCTTTTAAAACCTCCTATAACTTGGAGTCTGAAATTTTGGGAAGAGGCTGAAACAACTTATGAATGGTAGAGGGAACTTATTGGAAGCATGCAAAGTATGTGTATACGATTTTGGACACTTGGTGAATTTTATTTTAATTAAGGACTCACAACTGATTTTTTTTGCTTATTTTTTCATGACACAATGGAAATGTGGAACTATTGATTTAAAGGCACAGTAGACTCATTATTTTGTTTTTGATTTATTACTTGTGCACTTTATAATTCTTTATGTACTGATTGTTTAATACAGCGCAACACATGAGATTTATGTATTTTGATACTCATTTGTTTTTTGGGTGTGTTTTTGAGTGCAACTGTATAAACAATGGGACATTGTTTACCTTTTTAACCACCTCCCGCCCGCCATATAGTAATATGACGGGCGCAAGGTGGTTCTCTCATTCTGGGAGGACGTCATATGACGTCCTCCCATTCTCACGGCGCATGCGCGGCTCAGGGAGCGCGCAGCGTGGCGATCGGCGGTGCGCTGTGTCCCTCGGACACAGCGGATCACTGATCACGGAAAGAGCCAAAGATGTCGGCTCGGTCATGTGATCAGCTGTGTCCAATCACAGCTGATCAAATGTAAACAGGGAAATGCCGGTTATCGGCATTTCTCTCCTCTCGAGCTGTCACACTGAAAGCTCGAGAGGAGAGGAGAGCCAGTAATCGGCTTTCCGCGGAGGGGACATGTACACTGATCAGCAGGGCACTGCTGATCAGTGTGCCCTGATGATCAGTGTAGCCCCAGCAGTGCCACCTGTCAGTGTCCATCAGTGCCTTGTGTCAGTGCTCATCAGTGCCTCATGCCAGTGCCCATCAGTGCCACATCAATGCCACATATCAGTGCCTACCAGTGCACATCAATGCCACATATCAGTGCCCATCTGAGCTGCCTTTCAGTGTCACCCATCAGTGCCAGTCAGTGCCACCTATCAATGCCAATCAGTGCCACATATCAGTGCTGCCAATCAGTGCCATCTATCAGTGCCAGTGAGTGCCGCCTATCAGCGCACATCAGTGCCGCCTATCAGTGCGCATCAGTGACGCCTATCAGTGCCTGTCAGTGCTGCCTAACAGTGCCAGTCAGTGCCGCCTAACAGTACCAATCAGTGCCACCTATCAGTGCCACCTATCAGTGCCATATATTAGTGCCATGTATCAGTGCCATGTATCAGTGCTGCCTTTCGGTGCCAATCAGTGATGCCTGTCAACGCCCATCAGTGCCACCTACCAGTGCCTCCTCATCAGTGCCCATTAGTGCCACCTATCAGTGTCCATCAGTGCAGCTTATCAGTGCCCATCACTACAGCCTCATTAGCGCACATCAGTGAAGGAGAAAAATCACTTATTTACAAAATTTTATAACAAAAACTAAGAAAAAATGTTTTTTTTTTCAAATTTTTTCAGTGGTTTTTGGTTTGTTTAAGAAAAAATAAAAAACCCAGAGTTGATTAAATCCCACCAAAAGAAAGCTCTATCTGTCCAAAAAAATCATAAAAATGTCATATGGGTACAGTGTTGCATGACCACGCAATTGTCATTCAAAGTGCTGAAAGCTGAAACTTGGCCTGGGCAGGAAGGGGGTATAAGTGCCCTGCAGGCTTGTGGTTAATATCATTTTTATTAAAGGGCATTTTTGCTGTTTGGTTGTCTTTATTTATTTTTGAAATTTTTTGGTAGTGAGTGATAAGGGATACTCATATTCTCTGTACTCATTTCCATGAGAGCGGGTGAATATCTGGGGGCACCCTTATTATAAAGTGTAACTTCCAGATTCCAAAATGTCTCCCCTGCAAACCTCTACATCCCTTTTGGAGGACAGGATGTGGGGCTGAGGCCTTTGTCCCCTCAACATAAAGACTGTGCCTTGCAAGTAGGGGAGGCAAAGCGTCCTCCAAATGTTGAAGTCATGTGTCCTGGAATGGCTCAGGAAGTGGATCTACAGGCTCAATGCCTCCTTTTTGCTGGCCACCCAGACTGCATTCCTGAATATGGGTCTGGTATACATTTTAAGGGAGACACCACACAGTTTTCTTTTTTCAAAGGGACAGTACACATTTACAAAAATGGGAAAAATGGCCTTCAATGTTGTTTCCCCACCACCCAACAATGTTATTCATATATTGAAGCCTACCCCACTCCCTGCTAACTTGCCGACCTCCTCCACTCTTCCTACCACCCCATCCCCCACAGCTATCTCCTCCTGTACAACTATCCCCTCCCTCCTAGATTGTAAGCTCGAAAGAGCAGGGCCCTCAATCCCCTCATGTTTTGCATTGTATTGGTATTGTTCTGACACATGTTCTGTCCCCCTTTGTAATGTACAGCGCTGAGCGAACTATTGGCGCTTTATAAATACTGTATAATAATAATAATTGTTCTGTAACTTCATGTGCAGCTCAAAAGCAGGGCTTTTTTCTCGGAAAATAGGTGCAGGTACTCTCTCTTTTGGAGTCACGCCTTGTCTCTGCACCCTACCCGCCTCCAAGCACCATCCCTTTGTTCCACCCCCTACCCACCTCCCAGTACAGCCCTTGTTAGAGAAAACAAAACCTAGTATCACTTTTTGATGAAGTAATTTGTATGGAATTTGTTAATGATAACAAAAATAAAAAAGAAAATAGACCGCCTGCAGCCAGCAAAACCAGCCCCCCTGCAACAATAGATTCCTCAGAGACAATAAACATCCAACAACAAATCAATTCCGCAACAACAATAGATCTGCTGCCAGCAACAACAGATCTACCAGGAGCCAGGAACAATAGATTATCCCTCAGCAGTAGATCCCTACCATCAACAATGACCCTTCAGCAACAAAAGACTCCCTTTAACAATAATAGACCCATCCTTAAACAATAGACACCCCCAACAAACAATAATTTCCCCCAGCGTTAAGCATCAATAGACCCTCCAGAATACCCCAGCACTCATTGTCATTACATACATTCAATGTTAGAGGTGCCGGAACTTCGTTCCCCCACCTTCCCCCTGAAAAAAGCCCTGCCTAAAAGTATAACCGAAGGCAACACTTTTAGTTTTGGATAACGTAGAGAGGGATGAGAACTCATGTCAGACTTCTTTCGCTGTCTGTGTCCCAGTCTGGGAGATTCACCCTTTCTAATTGCTCTGTTTACCATTATCGCTGAATGTGAAAGAAAATCCCACATTTTGGGTTGTCCTTGAAACAGGAATTGTGTGGAAATGTTCCAAAAGTGACACTAGTTTTTTTTTACCCTGGTAAAAACCAGGGATTCCTTTACTTTGGAAAGTTTCCTCTCACTTCCTGTTTTGGCTTTGGGACAAGAAGTAAAGGGAAATCTCTACAATGGGACACAGATGGCAAAAAAATCCAAAATGAATGTAGTGCTACCTCCAGAGGCTGCCCACTACCACAAGCACCAGTCCATGCACTCCAGCTCCAATAACCAAGCCTAGGGGATGTGTTTTTGGAATTTATTGCTTGAAGAACTTTAAACAGAAGGGGGGTTAAGGCATATGATTCTCCAAACCGCTTGTGCAGTAATAGGAGGACACACTTTTTAGGCCCACATACACTGGGAATACAGCTGGGAACACAGGCAGTATTCTGATACCCTTTGAGAGCTGTCTCTGTCCATAGCTACCTCTGTTAATTACATCTCAAAAGCACACAGTCACCAGGGATCACAATTCAGGGTCAGTACTCACAAGTCCCCAGGACAGCTGCCCACCTTTCAGCTTCCTCTAGATACAGTCCAATAAGGGAGTCAGTCCTTCTCCAGACCATATCTCTTAGCTCCCCCTCTCAGAAAGATCACTTCAGGCTTTCATCTCTGCTACAGGTTAGACCTCAAAGAACAGCTACACAGCCCCCAGGCTGCCTTGGACTTTGGAACCCTCCCTGCCGAGGAAAGGACAATCTCTCCAGGGTTCCATACTATTTATTGCCTCCCCAGCCATCGTGTGAGGTGTAAAATGAATATATTTTTTCTTATTTTTAGGGTTTTTTTTGTATGTATTTAAATGCAATAATCCACACCATATGAATATGGTTATGTTGTAGTATGGCCATTGTCGCACTGTGCACGGCATAATGGAATTTTGTTAAAGCTAAGAGGTGTTCCAATATAAAATAGAGGCGATCTTGGGTGTAGTAGATAGAGTGTATTGTATTTATTGGACAACTGGAACTGGAGAATGCTGTTCCTGAAATGGCCCAGGCCAAAAAAGCAGAGTGATTTGTGACAGCTGTGTCCGCCGAACACAGCAGATTACCGATTAAGGTACCAGGCTGCTGTGATTGGCCCAGGTGCCATGTGATCGCTGTGATCAATCACAGCAATCACGTGATCACAAGTAAACAACTGTCATGAATGGCTTTCATTCATTAATTGACAACTTTCTTATGTACTTTAAAACGAAGTCTGCTAGAGATGTAGTTGGAGAAAAAATTATGTTCACACTGCCAGTATGTTTAGTACTGTTTTTTTTTTCATAGTTACGTAGATTGAAAAAAGACACAGGTCTATCTTGTTCAACCATTTGAAAAATAAATAAATTGAAAGTCTGCATCCACAGAACTCTATAACTACAGATGATCCAGAAGAAGGAAAAAAAAGGATGGTCAATGATCTCCAACAAAGAAAAAAATCCTTCTTGACCATCTAAGGACATTCCCCAGTTAAACAATCTGCATTAATATTGATTACAAATATTAATTGCAAGTTTCATTGTGTACATTAAAAACACATCCAGCTTGTTTTAGAAAATCTACTGAGCTGGCTCCACATTTTCACACCTCTTACTGTAAAGATGCCTTTCTCTATGTGGAGGATAAAGCTGAAAGTGATTCCAAAGGTTGTCATTCAGAAAAAAAAAAAAAAAACAAGCATGTTATACTTACCTGCTCTACTGTGCAATGATCATCCTCTTTTGGGTCCCCCGCTGGCAGTCCTGGCTCCTCCCCCTGCCAAGTGCCCCCAATAGCAAGCCTCTTGCTACGGGGACACTTGAGCAGGCTCCCGCACCATGCTCCTGTGAATGGACGGTGTCCATTTACACACAGAACGTGGCTTTGCTCGGCTCCGCCCCCCGCTCTCTCCTCATTAACTCACTGGCTGTGATTGACAGCAGCAGGAACTAATGGCTCCCACCACTGTTTGAGCCAATGAGGAGAGAGAGATCCAGGAGAGCTGCAACTCTCATACACATTGCTGGATCAAAATGTGGCTCAGGTAAGTATAAGGGGACTTGGGGGAGCTGCACATAGAAGATATTTAAATAATCTTGATAAATATCAAGTACAAATTTTAGGAGCTGCAACAATTTTTATACACAATCCCTCCATTTTCAGGGGCTCAAATGTAATTGGACAAATGAATATAATCATAAATAAAATGTTTATTTTTAATATTTTGTTGAGAATCCTTTACTGGAAATGACTGCTTGAAGTCTGGAACCCATGGACATTAGACTGGGTTTCCTCCTTTCTGATGCTTTGCCAGGCTCTAACTGTAGCTGTCTTCACTTGTTCTTTGTTTGTGGGTCTTTCTGCCTTTAGTTTTGCCTTCAGCAAGTGAAATGCATGCTTAATTGGGTTGAGATCAGGTGATTGACTTGGCCATTGCAAAATATTCCACTTCTTTTCCTTCAAAAGCTCCGGGGTTGCTTTTACAGTGTGTTTTGGTTCATTGTCCATCTGTGCTGTGAAGCTCTGTGTAATCAACTTTGCTGCATTTGGCTGAATCTGGGCTGACAGTATATCTCTAAACACTGCAGAATTCATCCGGCTGCTTCTGTCTTCTGTCACATCATCAATAAACACCAAATGACCCAGTGCCACTGGAAGCCATGCATGCCCATGCCATCACACTGCCTTTACCATGTTTTACAGATGACGTTGTGTGCTTTGGATCATGAGCTGTTGCAAGCTTTTTTCTCCACACTTTTTTCTTCCTGT